AAACTCCACTTTACTAGTTTACTGTTTGGTTACAAATAGGATAATCTATGAGAGTCTCACTGTGGCCCATCTTCTCCTCTAAGTCTTCCTATTGCTGCTCTTAAGACTAATTTGATTACATTATCCCATTTCCTTCCTGCCTCATTTTCAAAAGACGGAAGGTTTCTTCCTTTAAGGGAACAGTCTCTACTTACTCACACCCAGAAACCCCCAGGAAAACACAGGTTTTGTTTGGTGAAGAAGCTGCTCCCACCACATACACACAGAAACAGTGATAAGGCTCAATAAGCTCACCAAATGCAGCCCACGCACCCCTTAGCTGTGTCCATTTGTCAGGGGTAGGGTAGGTACCTGTAATGTTTAAAATTATTTTTTTTCCTCAAAAAAAAAAAAAAAAAAAAAAAACCCTGAATCAAAAATGGACAGTCTGAATTGAGATCACATATAGAATGGAGTTTGGGAAAAAATTATATTTGGCAAAAATCCATATATTATAATGATATAAAGGGCTCAAACTTCTTTTGGGGGTGGAGCAGCGAGTCCTACCCCATGCCTGCCCAGACTTGGATAGTTTTTATATATAGATGCAGATATTTTTCTCATCTTCCCACTGGTGGGTGCCTGAGAAGGTACCACTTTTAATCGAGATAGATCTAGAAGCCAATAAAGGACAACGACCCGCCCCAAAGTGGGGGGAGCTTAAATAGTGATAGCATTTATATTTATTGCTGTAGTAATTATGCTTGATGTTCATATTTATCTTTAACAACCTAAGAGTTCTGGTAAGATTTTTATGTGTTATGGGGGTGAGGCCTGTGGGTGGAGATGGGAAGGAACATACTCTGAAAATCCCATGGGATTTTTGAGAAATACTAATACGAGTATGAGACTGGCCTTCGTGTTTCTGAAGCCTTTTCCTGCCTTCGAAGTCCGAATGTCACATTTCTCATCCTTTTTCTAGTCCTCTTTCACAAAGGTGGCTTCTCCCTTAATGAGTGGCTGGAAAACGGACTTTAAGGGGCTGTGAGGGGTTGGGTAGGCCCAAGGTACAGAACCTCTCAGGTTCTTCACACGGCCCTGTCCCACTGTGGATTAATCTTATAAATTCCCTTCTCTCTGTCTATACATATGGATACCTGGACACCATATACAGGAAGGATTCAAACCACGGGGGAATTGTTAACCCTTTTATAAGACCACAGGGTGGGGAGTGGGGGGGCACTGGAACCAGATGTGTAACTGGACACATATGGGATGTTTCGGATTAAAACTAAGCAATTTAAAAGTTTCCTGATTCAGGAACTGTAAAACCAGGGCAACAACAATTTACTACTAGTCATAATGGTATGACTGCCAGGCCAGATAATGGGTCACCAATTTGTCCCTCAATAGCAAGGCCACGTGCCGCTGGAAGCAAGGCAGAGTGGGAGGGGGAGTGAGGGGTATGCCACTGGGAAACAAAAGGGTCTCAGGGTGCAGAGGTAACACGTGTCCCCGCATGCTGAAAGGCTGGCCCCAGCAAGAATAGATCACCGCCAACTGAACCACCCCAGAAAGCCCTTCCCACAAAGTGTTGCAAGTTCTGGAATGAAGGACACATCTACACACAGTGTTCTCGCTTCCTCCCGAAGCTGTTATCAAATCGTATCCTGCCCACTCAAGAAGGTTCTGGACAAAAAAGTCTTTCGGCCACTTATCTGGCAGGTGGTGGTTTTTAATTTTACACTTTGTACTGGGAAGCCTGCAAACACCACGCAGCAAGCAGAACCCCCAGATAACACGCTAGGCCTCCCCGAGCCCGCAGCTGTGTCCTCCAACTTTGGCCTCAAACACCCACCTTTCTCGGGGAGCAAATTCCAGAACGGAGGGAGGGATGGGGGTACGACCCCTGGGCACCAGTCCCGGGAAGTGACCGCCGAAGCCGGCCGGCCTCTGCCCCCACCGGGCTCGGCTGGACCATGCTCCTTGCACAGTTCACCGAACTGAATTAGAGAGAGAGCAAACCCGCCTCCACCCCGGCCTCGGGTTCCCGGGACCAGCAGGAGCCCAATTCCGTCCCCCTCCCCCTCCTCCGTCCGGAACCAGCCCGGCCACGCGGGGGGCCGGGACGCGAGAGCGGATCAAGCGGCCCACGCGGCGCCGGGGACCCGCTGCGGGGCACGTGCAGGAACCGGTAAGGGGAGGAGGCGGGCGGCCAGGCGGGCGGGAGGGAGGGAGGCGAAATAGGGAAGGCACCTCCGAGTGCGGGCGTAGCCCGAGGCCGGGGCCGGGCGACGAGGCGGCCACTTACGAGTCTCCCAGATAGTCGTGGAAACGGATGCGGCCGACGGTAGTGTTGGCCTCGAAGTTGGGAGCCTCGTCCCCGAGGAGGAGGCCTCCGGGCATGGCGGCGAGGTGACGCGGAGGTCGAGAGCGGGCGGTGGCGGCGGCAACCCCCAGCGCTGGCTGGGAGAAGTGGGTG